TATATATATATATATATATATATATATATATATATATAGTATCATTGTCAATATTAATCAATAATATTTTCTCCCGTGCATTCTCACATGGTATCAGAGCTTTGGTGAGAATAGATTGTTGTGCGTCATTCCAGCGACATCCGGGAAGAAAGAACTCAGTCACCGTGAGATTTTCCGGTTACCTAAGTGACTATTTGCGTTAATCACTAATTATCAGTGTTAACACTGTGCGAAATCCAATACCACCAAAAGGTTCCCAAGAGATAGGCGACCAAAACCCAGAAAAAACCACTTGAAAACACTCACCCACGCGCCTGCTGGAGTTCTGCTACCGGCGGCGCGTCTGTCCCACGCGCCGGCTCGTGAGGGCTGTTCCGACCAGAATTTGAAAAAGTTTCTTTTGGACGGTGTAATTGTCTTGCAATTCCGAGCCTACCCATCCAATTTAAACCTAATTCCGACAACTTTTATATTTTTCCGGTGTGAACTGTGATTTCTGGCGTGATAAGTGATTTGAAGAAAAATTTATGATTTTTTCCGGCGTGAACATTATAATGTCATTCTTATTTATTCTAAAAAAAAAACATTATAATGTCATTCTTATTAGAAGCCTTAGACACAATTTGTTGGATCCAATGCATTGAATCCAATCCAGATGGTTTCTTTACCGGATTATATTGAGTTCCTTCAGTAAAAAGCACGTAAACAGACATCTTCAGGATTCTCCGTTGTTCCAACAAATAGTAGCATGACTTGTGTCTCCCAATCTTCACCTTCTGAGTCTTGGGTCATTGATTCAGGTGTATCTGATCATATTTCTGGTAACAAATCTCTTTTCACTAGTATTTCATATTCTCAATCTCTTCCAACAGTCACAATGGCCAATGGGTCTCAAGCCATGGCAACTGCAGTAGGTCAAGCAAGTCCACTTCCTTCCTTACCTTTAGACTCAGTTCTTTATGTTCCTGGTAGTCCTTTTAATCTCATAGCCGTTAGTCGCTTAGCCAAATCACTTAAATCTGTTGTTTTATTTCTTGATGACCTTGTTTTTATACAGGAACGCAGTACATGGCGGATCATTGGTACCAGACGTGAATCAAATGGACTTTATTACCTTATCCTTGCAAAATCACATGGACTCGCATCTTGTTTTCCTCCAATAACTTGTCCCGTTACTGATTCACCAAATTTATTACATAAACGGTTAGGACATCCCAGTTTGTCAAAATTTCAGAAAATGGTACCTGGCTTATCTCAATTGTCCACTCTAGAGTGTGGGTCATGTCAGCTCGGTAAGCATACTCGCTCCCATTTCCCACGGCGTCTTGATAATCGAGCAGTCACCTTTTAGTTTAGTCTATTCAGATGTTTGGGGTCCTAGTCGGGTCAGTTCTACCTTGGGATTCCGCTGCTTTGTTAGTTTCATTAATGATTATTCCAGGTGCACTTGGATATTTTTGATGAAAAATTGATCTGAGTTGTTTTCTATTTTCCAGACCTTCCACGCTGAAATTCAAAATCAATTTGGGGTTTCTATCCGCACATTTCGTAGTTATAATGCCCTAGAGTATTTGTCTTCCCCATTTTAGCAGTTTATGAACTCTCATGGGATTATTCATCAAACATCTTGACCGTACACATCCCAACAAAAAGGGGTAGCTGAAAGAATGAATAGACATCTTATTGAAACTGCTCGTACCCTATTCATACAATCTCATGTTCCGCTGCGTTTTTTGGGAGACGCAGTTCTTACATCTTGTTATCTTATTAATCGTATGTCATCTTCAGCTATCCAAAATCAAGTTCCATTCTCTGTCCTGTTTCTCCACTTACCTTTGTTCTTTCTTCCACCCCGTGTCTTTGGGAGTACGTGCTTTATTCATGACCTTACTCTATTAAAAGACAAGTTAGCTCCTCGTGCTCTTAAGTGCATATTTCTGGGTTACTCGAGAACGCAAAAGGAATATCGATGTTATTCTCCTGACCTTCAGCGATTTCTTATGTTTGCTGATGTTACCTTCTTTGAAACCCAATCATACTTCTCAGGTCCAGTTAATCACTTACATATTTCTGAGGTGCTACCAGTTCCTTCTTTTGGAGATTCAGTCCCTATCTCCCATTCATCTTCTTCCATAGCTCCACCACCTACAGTTCCAGTTGCAGCTCCACCACCTATAGCTCCAGTGCCACCACCGAGTCCAGTGCCACCACTTGGTCCAGTTCCACTAACTATAGCTCTAGTGCCACCACCTAGTCCAGTTCAATCTTTTACAGCTCCACGACTCCTGACTTATCATCGTCGTCCGTGCCCAGCATCAGACGAAGCTGATTCACGTCCTGCACCTGACCCTGCTAATACTGCAACTTGTCTCCTCTTAATCAACTGATTGCACTACGAAAAGGTATACGGTCCACACTTAATCTTAATCCTCATTATGTCGGTTTAAGTTACCATCGTCTGTCATCACCCCATTGTGCATTTGTGTCATCTTTGTCCTCTGTTTCCATCCCTAAGTCTACAGGTGAAGCACTGTGTCATCCCAGATGGCGACAGACTATGATTGACGAGATGTCTGCTATACATACGAGTGGTACTTGGGAACTTGTTCCCTTCCTTCGGGTAAATCGATTGTTGGTTGTCGTTGGGTGTATGAAGTCAAAGTTGGTCCAGATGGCCAGGTTGATCGACTTAAGGCTCGTCTTGTTGCCAAAGGGTATACTCAGATATTTGGACTCGATTACAGTGATACTTTCTCTCTCGTGGCTAAAATTGCATAAGTGCGTCTTTTTCTATCCATGGCTGCTGTTCGCCATTGGCATCTTTTTCAGTTGGACATTAAGAATGTTTTTCTTCACGGTGACCTTGAAGATGATGTTTATATGGAGCAACCACCTGGTTTTGTTGCTCAGGGAGAGTCTAGTGGCCTTGTGTGTCGGTTGCGCCGGTCCCTCTATGGTCTAAAGTAGTCTCCTCGAGCCTGGTTTGGTAAGTTCAGCACAGTTATTCAGGAGTTTGGCATGACTCGTAGTGAAGCTGATCACTCTGTATTTTATCGACATTTTGCTTCAAATCTCTGTATTTATCTGGTCGTTTATGTTGACGATATTGTTATTATCGGCAAATATCAGGATGGTATTAGTAAGTTGAAGCAACATCTCTTTCAGCACTTTCAGACTAAGGATCTGGGCAGATTAAAGTATTTTCTGGGTATTGAGGTCGCTCCGTCTAGCTCAGGTATTGTGATCTCACAACGGAAGTATTCCTTAGATATTCTTGAAGAGATAGGAATGACACGTTGTAGACCTGTTGACACTCCGATGGATCCGAATTCTAAACTTTTGCCAGGACAGGTGGAGCCTCTTAGCGATCCTGCATGATATAGGCGGTTGGTTGGTAAATTAAATTACCTCACAGTGACTAGACCTGACATTTCCTTTCCATTGAGCGTTGTGAGTCAGGATTTGAAATCAGCTCATTTTTAATGATAGTCATTGGGATGCAGTTGTCCGCTTTTTTCGGTATATAAAATCAGCTCCAGGTAAAGGCTTATTGTTTGAGGATCGAGGCCATGAGCAGATCGTTGGATACTCAGATGCTGGTTGGGCAGGATCACCTTCTGATGGACGTTCTACGTCTGGATATTGTGTCTTAGTAGGAGGAAATTTGGTGTCTTGGAAGAGCAAAAAACAGAATGTGGTTGCTCGATCTAGTGCAGAAGCAGAATATCGAGCAATGACTATGGCAACATGTGAGCTAATTTGGATCAAACAGTTGCTCAATGAGTTGAAATTTGGTGAGATTAGTCAGATGAGGCTTTTGTGTGATAATCAAGCCGCTCTTCATATTGCGTCAAATCCAGTGTTCCATGAGAGAACTAAACACATCGAGATTAACTGTCNTCTCACAATACTAAATGCATGGTAGCCTTTGGATTGAAAATACTGCTGCATGTTGATTGTTTCTCTCCTAGAAACTTTGCTAGTCTTGCATATTATACAGATTCTGGTCATATCTGTCATGTCTTAAAGCTTCTCCTAGAAGGGGACATTGAGATTGGGACAAAGGGCCTTCAATATGATCGTCGGATCATTCAATTTCTTTGATATATTCTCTAATTATAATTTGTGATGTCGGGCGAAGATTCATCCTCTATTGCATTATCAAGTGGCTAATCGATTGTGGAGGGTGGTCCTTAATTTGTTTGGGATGCAATTGGTGATGCCGGGTAAAGTGAAGGAGGCATTACAAAGTTGGCCTCACAGGAGGTGGGGGAGAGAAGTCTAAGGGAATGGGCTGTTGCTCCCTTTGCGATCATGTGGGTTATTTGGAAAGAGAGAGATAGGAGAGCATTTGAAGGGGTGGAACAAGATTTTGTAAAATTTCAAAGTAGTCTTTTTGTTTCTTTTTTACTCATGAGGTCCCTATTTGTATAGAGGAATTGGTCTCTATTGTGGAGAACCATATTTTGGTGTAGGTTCTCTTTTTGGTATACACAGTTTCCCGTTAATAAAGTTATTTACCTTACCAAAAAAATATTCTTAATTATGGTAGCTGCTAACTATTGCATGATCTCTGTAGAATGAACCTAAACACATATAATCTATTCTAGCTATGCATGAAAAGGGGATAGATCTATACGCCCCTAAGAAACTGGCACATAGTCCATGGGCGGCTAAAAACGTTAAAATTGGGAGGCTTTGTCAAGGGAAACTAGACCCTAACCCCTTGGGGAGGCATATTCACCGGTTATCTGGTATTCTGATTGGGCCTGTCCTTTACTTTATCTTTTCAATATTAATTTAATTCTTCAAATAACCGTATATGTTTTGTTCCTCAATTTTTTATTCACTCTGAAATAAATTTCAAAAAAAAAAAAAATTGGCACATGAAAAGGGGATAGATCTATGCATGAAAAGGGGATAGATCTATACGCCCCTAAGAAATTGGCACATAGTCCATGAGTGGCTAAAAACGTTAAAATTAGGAGGCTTTGTCAAGGGAAACTAGACCCTAACCCCTTGGGGAGGCATATTCACCGGTTATCTGGTATTCTGATTGGGCCTGCCCTTTACTTTATCTTTTCAATATTAATTTAATTTTTCAAATAACCGTATATGTTTTGTTCCTCAATTTTTTATTCACTCGGAAATAAATTTCAAAAAAAAGAAAAATTGACAAAGAAATTATGAATGTAAAGTTGTATGCCTATACAGTTGTATATAGGTGTTTTTTCTTCCAAATTCTATAAATTTATTACTTGATCAAAATGAAATGTAAAAATGTGACATAAGATTTTTTAAAATGAATTACATATTTTCTTAAGAAATATGTATAAGTATGGTACTATGGTCCTGGTCCATCATTGCGACCTGGCCAATTTTATATGTTTAAACCTAGGCATATGCTAACACTCTCCTGAATTGTAGATTATTGATTATATTTCCCAAGTTTGCTTCAAGTGCTTTAGTGATGTATCTGCTAGATTGAATTGAACAAATAAAACTAGTGGAGATACGGCTAGAATATATCTTATATATAAAGTGATAATAAATCTCTATGTGCCTGATACTCTTATGGCGTTAAGTTAGTAGCAATATGCAAGCTTTAGTAACATAACTGCTAGCTAATGAATTGAACCAACAAAAGGATGTACTTATTTCTAACCATTTGCTGCATTTGTTATACGGAGGTTGGTTTCCTCTTCTCTTTGTTTTTCCTTCAGCCACTTCTTTGATTTCTAGTGTTGCTCGTGATATTCAAATCAATTTTATCTTGTTCCAGTCTGCTTGCTGGGCCATGGCCAAATCATGGCTTGATTTCCAGGTTGATGTGGAATTAACCCGCCTGCAACCAGGTGAAGGGGATCACTTCAAGAATTTTGAAGAAGCAATTAATAGAAGCCCAGAATTTGTAGATGGTGTTTCTCAGCCAACTGCTGGACCAGATAGTTGGCCACTTCAAGTTGTGAATCAGCAACCTAGGCACCTCTCTGCCCTTCTCCAGAAACTCCATTCAAGGTATTCATGCAGTCCGGTTTCGCTCCAGGTTTTTCTTTTGTACTTCCTTATCTGAAATAAATTAAAATTCTCTGTAATCTAGTGATACGGTGCATGAAATTGTTGCTCGATCGTGCAAGGAGCAGCAGAGACAAATTGAGGTATAGGCTCATGTTCTTGTATCGCTTCTCAACCTTTTTACTTTTTCTTTAGAAGAGTAATCTGTGTTAGTCTCTATTTATTTTAGTCCGTTTTATCTATTTAAAATTTAGTCCCCCCACCCCCACCCCCTTACACACACAAAAAAAAATGATGAGAGACATCTTACCAGATGTTTTAAACATGGTGAGTCTATATGCACAAACATTTGGCCTGTCTTGTCTTATGATTTAAGTAATTTTGAATGATGCTTTAGAAGGAGAAATAGGCTACCATTGCGTGCTACCTTCCACATCCATGGATATCATATTTTGGTGTTAGTCCTCTCACGACTTTACCCACGCATATGTATCAAATGTATGTTTGTGTAATGCAGCTCAGTCCATAGCTTTTTCCACCATAAAATCTGGCATTTCAGATCTCTCCCTCACTTCGTCTTGTGTCATTCTCAGATAAGCCTGGTTCCTTCCATTTTCTTTGCATATAGAATGGGAGCCTTGGTGTCATGGTAAAGTTGTCTCTATGTTACCTATAGGTCACGGGTTCGAGCCATGAAATCATCTATTGATACTTGCATCGGGGTAGGTTGCCTACATCATATCCCTTGGGGTGCGGCCCTTTCTCAGAACCTTCGTGAATGCGGGATGCTTCGTGCACCGGGCTGCCCTTTTTATTTTTGTTCTGTATATAGTTACTTGGGTAGGTGATGACTTTGAGTAGAGTGTCTTTCATCCTGTCCGTCTCCTTGGTCCCATTCTAAGTTACTACATCTTTCCTGCGAGGAAGGGAGTGTATATTAGCTGAGTACCGGTTTCATCTTAAAAGTATTATAGTTTCTATGATCTATTCTGCAGCTTTAACCAAAGCTTTTGAACAGATGAACCTTATGTTAGGAGACATACCAAGTTTGCTGGACATCATATGGTCTTGGATATCGCCTTCTGAAGATGATGCAACCTTCTTCAGGTAAGTCACTTTTCACACTTTATTGTACATGGGCGGAGGCTCTTTGTTGCACATACACAAAAAGACTAGGTTATTCTGCAGTATTTTGAGATTCTTATTGTCTTTGTAAAGCTTCTAAATAGTATTTAACGTTGATGAATTGTTTCACCTCATTAAAACATAGTAGTTAGAATCGGGACACATTTATTTAAGTACTTCCTGACACGCCTCTTTCCCTATGGGTCTCATTCTTTTCCTTGAGTCTAACATGTGGAAGCTCCATGTGTAAATGGGTGGTAGTAAGATTCAAAACTGAGACTTCTGCCTACGTTGGCACTGTGTTGAATTGTGCGTGACCACCTCATCTTAAAATATTACAAACACGTCACATACTGATTACCCCTCTATCAGCTTTATCATGTTAGATTTTTTGATGTCAATTGTCCAAGGGATAAGGAAGGCCTCTAGAGGGTACTTTTGTTGTTTTTGGTTCCTGGTACAGAGTAATCTTTGTGTCCTTGATAGTCAGAATTACATGAATGATCTATCTATACATGATGTGTTTAGTAATAGACTAGTCCACAATATGCATAAGTACTTGTTATTCTTGGAGATTGAGCTTTATGCTGGATATGATTTATGCTGAATGCACATTTTCTTTTGCTTAGACCTCATGGTGACCCACAAATGATGCGCCTTGGTGCACACTTAGTGCTTGTGCTCCGATACTTGCTCGAAGATCAAATGAAGGATGAGTTTAGAGAGAAATTACTGACAGTTGGTGACCTCATTCTTCACATGTAAGTATTACGCAGCATATTCTTTTTGTTGGTGGTATTGATAGGCATCTGGGGAGTCAATTGATGCTCCTTTCATATATCTCATATTTTTCTTCAAAATGAGAGTTTGGAGAACATAGCCATAATTCCACTGCTTATAGCATCTAATGTAATGTTGGTAGAAAAATCAGCACAAATTTGCAATATATCTTATTTGATTTGATGTACCCACGAAAATTAAGGAGAAAACTAAAAGTTTGAAAATGCATGACTAACGCCTATCAACCTTTATCTATCTATGCTATGTACTGCTTTGTCTACGATATCTATGCTATGTACTGATTGTGAGGTGTCCTTTTGAATTATTTAGCTGTAGTTTCCTTCAATAAGTAATTGCCTAATTGCAAAGTATAATGCGAATAAATTTGTATGCAATGAAACTGGACACGTTCTTACACTTTCAATCAAGTTAGACTACATAGATCATACACAATGAGTTCACGACAAATATACATTATCTTTTGTCCCCCCTAGAGCCTTGGTGAATGAATGCATCTTCCAACTCGTCACAGTACAAATAAAATTGGAATAGATGCATCTGGATTTTGATTTTTTACGAACAATGAGAATCAACTTTTTGTGACTGATTAAAAGAAGAATCAACTTCAATGTGCTTATCCTCTCATGGAACATTGAAGTATAAATAAAATGTGATGCAACTTGATTTCAGAAATCAATATCTTCATTCTTAATCCCTTGGACATGGTACCAGAAAGTTCCATTTTGTAAAGTGGTAGCAGACACGACACCAAGAAAATGTGTGGCTAGGAGCGGAAGAGATCAAGGTGTTCAAGAAACCTAAGGAAATGGTTGTGGAGATTCGAAATGGAGTATGCTTTATGCAAAGAGGTGGTAGCAGAGAGGTACGACACAACAGAAGAGGGGTGGACTTGAAATATCACAATGCCATTTGGTTGTTGCTTGTGGAGGAGTATCATGAAGGGGGAAAGACTTTAGCGGGCATATCATTTTTAGGGTCGGGGTTGACATTAGAATTAGCTTTTGGAACCACAGATTTGAGGTTCTGAGGGCCTCCTTTCCTCGCGTATACAGAGTATTAAACCAGGGAGGGATGACAATCCAACATATCTGAAGGGGCGCAAGAGGGAGGTATATTTCAGGGACCTCGGTTTTGGAGGAATCTATGAGACTGGGAGATGGGGAGTTCCAAATTTAGTTCGAGCACTCTACAAGCAGATCATATTGCCTTCTACGCATGATTCTATTGGTGCTATAATGCAAATATTCGGGCGAAGACCTTGATCACCTTCTGTTGTAGTGCAAGGTGGCCCCTGGTTTGTGAAGGGTGATTTTGAATTGTTTCGGAATATAAAAGGCGATATAGGTACAATAAGAGATATGCTACATTTGGTCTCTTAAAAGCTAGAAAGAAGATCAACGGCATGGGAGGTTACCCCGCTAGCTGTTATGTAGGTTGCATGGAAGGAGAGCGGTGGGAGGGACTGAAAATGATTTTGTCCATTTAAGGAATATCCACTTGTTTTTTTTTTATGTAGCTATGAGATACCTGTCTGTATAAATGATTTGGTGTCTGTGCAGAGAATCATATCTTGATGTAGGTTCTCTACTTTTTGGTATACGTCTCATATATATTGGTTGTTTGTGTTTGTTCTTGATTGGGATTTGCATTTCGTCTCAAGTTTCATGGAGAATTAATGTCTTCATCTGTCGATTTTCTTTTTCATTGTATCTAGTTTTTCTGCTTCATTCCCGTGATAGATCAAAGTAATAATGCACTATTTTCATTGTTATCTTCAAATGTTATCGTCCAATATCCAGTGTCTGTTATTTTATAGGGTTGTGTTGTTGGCTTCTGAAGTCTGAACTGCAATTGCAGGTATACTATGTTTCTTTTTACAAAGCAACATGAAGAGTTGGTTGGGATTTATGCTTCTCAGTTAGCTCGTCATCGTTGTATCGATCTCTTTGTGCATATGATGGAGTTAAGGCTAAATAGCAGGTAAAACCCATGTAATGCTGACTTTTATTCCTCTTTATTTCCTATTTTGGTTGTTGGTGATCCATTTATTTTATTCTTTCGATAGGGAATTTCGTAGATTTCATTTGATGGGCATGCTTATGAGTTATGGCATAAAATACCCATCGTGTGGTTTAGGTACTAAAAAGCGTGCTGTTAAGTATTATGACCCTTTACCCGTTGGAATTAGCCGAGGTGCGCGCAAGCTGGCCGAGACCATGGTTATAAAAAAAAGTATTATGATCCTTTATGTGTTTGGTACTTTGGTATTTGACTTTCGTCGGTGGCAAATTCTTTTTTCCTTTTGTTTTTTGAACAGGTAAGTAATGGATTCTTATTGATAGTAAAAAATCTAGCTCTACAACGGTGCTTGTATATTTACATAGTCAGAATCCTCCTACACAAAAACAAAAGAAAGGATTCCTTTCTGTAAAGTTCCTATCCCTGTAGTGAGTCAATTAAATCTACCAAGCTATTTTCATCTCTGACATCCTGAAGAGTACACCTAATAGCCAAAAAGCCATAAGCATATAGACTTAATCTTCAGACACAAATTCTTAGTGGGTTGCAGTTCAACCTTTTGTGCCTGGGTGTTGTAGCTTTTAGATGCCTTAACTTTACTATGCTGTTGTGGAGGACATTTTCTGCCTTGTTAAAATATCTGTTTGCATTGGCAGGCTTTTGTTTAGTACTAGTAAACTTCCATCTTCTTCGTACTTTGGGGCCAATTATTCAGAAATTGGATGAACTCACACAGGTGAAGTGGGATGTCAAGGAAAGTTGACCAATAAAATAAACTATAGATTATTGCAAAAGTATAGGTTGACTCATTATGAATTTGGCCTTAGTTTGCTCCTTACTAATTCTGAAGGGATGCGCCCGGTAACAACTAACTAAGAAGCATAAGAGTGCAGGTGATCTTAAACTTCTGGTGTTCATGTATAGACTTTAGGTCAGGAAGTCTGGTGACAACTTACTATAAAAGCCCCAGGCTATGATATATTGGTCAGCTAAACATGGTGTTTGTCGTTGCCATAACGCATGCTTTGCGTCTGACTTTCTCCCCTCTTCTCGTCCTTATGTTCCCCTTGCACGCTTGCTGAGTGTGTGCATGGTCAGTGTAAGGGTTTTCTTTGCTTTCTTGTGTGATCGAACTTGGAAAAGAACTTCTTGAGAAATGCCCCCTTTTATCTTCCATATAATCTCAACGTGTTATAGTCAATGAGTTCGTGCTGAATCTTCCTTTGTTAATTTTGGCAGGAACTTTAGGAGGTTGTCAACTAATTAGTAGTAGTTTTTATACCACGCATGCTATTGGATGCATAATGACTAGCTGGGTTAAAGCTTTTGTTGGTCATTTTATCAATTGATGCCCTTCCCCTCTAAACTTGTCACTTAAGTGGTTTTTTTTTAAATTAAAAAATTTACATTCTCGGGAAACATTCTCTAATGCAAAGACCAAAAGTTGGAAAATGAGTATGAATACAACCTGTTTATATGGAAGTAATTTTCATTGCAAGATTAGGGCCTACGATACATTAGTCTAATGGTGTCTTTCTTTTGTTTATTCCTTCTACTATCATCCTTCCTTTAAGGGTGAGTGGGAATTATTTTGATTAACTATAGTTAATTTGATGGATTGTATCCTTGCTATCCAGGTTAAAAAAGATAATTGAGCTATGTAAGTTGTTACTTCATGCAACACGTTCTTGCATAAACTGTGGGAGTTCTTATTTTATGACTCAGGAACAGTTCATTCTACTTTATCATTACTAGGATCTTGGTCAGATGTTTTGGTTTAGACTAGTTTTAATAGCTTTTCCATTGTTGACAGCGTTCGCGTCAGGTATAAAATATTCCTTTCTGCTATTGAATACTTGCCATTTGCTCCAGAAGATGATTCAAAGGGCAGTTTTGAGGATATCATCGAAAGGTTCCTTTATTTCTTAACACATATTTCACAATTTTGAAAACATGCAAAATTGAGTTCTTTCGAAGGACTGACGTTAGATTGTAATTATTTTAAACAGGGTTCTTTCAAGGTCTCGAGAAATCAGAGTCGGGAAATATGATAATGAAACAGATGTTGCAGAGCAGCATCGATTACAGAGCCTTCAGAAAGCTTTAGTAATTCAGTGGCTCTGCTTTACACCTCCTTCAACAGTCAATAATTCTAGGTCCGTTAGTATGAAACTTCTTTTCCGGGCATTGACACACAGGTCAGTTTTTGTTTCTCGTTTCTTTTTAATTTTATGTTCCTCGAGGTGACTCAAATGATCATGGAATTGACTTGCAACTACTTCCACAGCAACGTACTGTTCCGGGAATTTGCTCTTATCTCAATGTGGAGGGTTCCAGCAATGCCAGTCGGGGCTCATACTTTACTCAGTTTACTGGCTGAGCCATTGAAACAACTCTCAGATGATCTTGTTTCTGTTGAGAGTCATGAGTTCTCGGAGAATTTAAAGGAGTTCCAGGACTGGGTACGCTTTTTTGAGACTTCTAAAGAAGATATGGATACGCCTTTGGTTTGCTTGTTATTTCTTAAATTTTGTAGAAATTATAATCGTAATATTTTGTTTTTGCCCAATCAGAGTGAGTTCTATTCATGTGATGCAACTTATCGCAACTGGTTAAAGGTTGAGCTAGAGAATGCAGAAATTTCACCAGTTGAACTCTCGGATGAGGAAAAGCAGAATGAAGTTATAGCTGCTAGAGAAACTCTTGATACATCACTCTTGCTTCTACAACGTGAGTGAACGAAACCTATGTGAGAAAAAATTGTTCAGAAGATGTCTAGTCTTGGAAGATATATTGTCTTCTCAATATGATTCGCCTACCCCTTGCCCCAGTTTTCATTTTTCCCACCTCCCCCTCTCGTTGGTTTTCTTCTCAAGTATATGGCCTTATATAATTGAATTGCCGGGCTTCCAGAAAGTTAATGTGCTGAATATGTGTCTTAGGGCAAAAGAATCCCTGGTTAGTTCCAACTGAAGATCACATCTTGGAAAGTGATGAGCCTGTGTTCCTCGAGTTGCATGCTACTGCGATGCTTTGTTCATCATCTGGTGATTGTTTGGCGCCCGACGCCACCTTGTGCACAACGTTAATGAGTGCCCTTTACTCTTCAGTCAGTGAGGAAGAAGTATTAAAGCGCCAGATAATGGTATGCTAATTTTTTGTCGAGTCAAATGCGGAAGTTGTAATTGATGTTGTACTGGTCCTCAGAGGACATGTTCAATACATAAGCCTCCTCTCTTTCTTGTGGTGTCTAACTTTTTATTATACTTGGACTGCGTCGGTCAATTTCTCTATTGATCAAGATATCTATCAAAAGTGTACAAGGTATGGTAGCTTTAAAATGGTAGCCTCCCTGCCAAGATATCAGTTCCAAAAAAGGTGTAGTCAGAATGAGCATTCTAGCTAGCAAATGTACCTAAACATGAGTAAGTACATTAGTCTGCGGCAATGGTCTATTGGTACAATGGATTATATAAAACATGGAAGTACATGCACTGACATTTTGAAAGCAGAAGGTTAACTAAAATAAGAGTTATTAGTTACTAGTTAGTACACATGCTCATCCAGCCATAGGTCTCGTAACCTCTGTAATGGGTCTCTAGCCTTATTAGGCTTTTCTGTCTGAAACAAATTATTAAAATCAACTCTACATTAAACAGGATTCAATGCAAAAGGTTATGATTTAGGAGGACTTCGACCTTCTATATAAATGTAGTAATGTTGGCGATTGCCATGATGTTCGTGCAGGTGAGCGTCTCCATATCATCCAGAGACAACTATTGTGTCGAGGTTGTATTACGCTGCTTGGCAACAGAAAAGGATGGTCTTGGGTCACATCAGTTCCATGATGGTGGTATTCTTGCCGCAATGCTTGCTGCTGGCTTCAAAGGTAATGAGATTCTCTAGTTGGTGAGTTTGTTTTTAGATTAGCCTTCTCCCTGTTTCCTAGGCCTCCAGTTGATGCAATTGTCTTCTTGGAGCTCCTTTTAAGGCCAGATTATCTTAAGACTGCAAACTATTGTGTGCTTTTAAATATGACTTGTTATGTGTCATTATTTTGCATTCCATCTTTTTCTTCCTTTTTTCCATTAACTAGTCTCATTCGTTTGGGGCTGTGCATCTTCGGCCTTGAAATAAAATTGTGTTAGCCTCATCTTGATTCGTGCTGATCGATTAGTTTTTGGGTTTCATATTCTTTATTCTTATTCTTTTTCCCAATTTTTGTTTAACTTTTCTTTTCAACATCTTTTTTATCGCTTTCCGTGTTTACATTGTCATTTCACCTAAGCTTACTTGATGCTTCCTCCTTCCTCTATCCCATTTTGATTGATCTACTTATTGTTTTAGTATCTCTTTAAAAATTGACATAGTTACTTAAATAACAATGTCCACCACGTTGAACTGAGTGCAAACTTTGGAGATCATGGTTCAAATTCCGGCAGAGACAAAATAATAAGTGATTTCTTCTCATCTGCCCAAGCTTTGGTGGGCATAATTGCCGGGTACTTGTGCAGGTGAGAGGTAGCAGATACCTAGTGGAATACTCGAGGTGCGCGGAAATCGGCCTGGGCAGCAGGCACCACTGTTGTCAACAAAAAGTAAAGGAAAAAAACAAAGTCCACCAAAAATCTTAGCCCAGCCTAGCCCGTTATTTGATAGAGTTGGCTAAGATCTTTGGACCTCATTTAAGAATGAGGCCTTTTAGACCGGCCCAAGCAAAGCCCGCCGACCCTTGAGGTCTGACTGAGCCTAGGCTGTGCCGGCCCGTGGGCCAAATGGAATAAATGTTGAACTTAAAAATATAAAAATTGAAAGGGTATTTTATGGATGAGCCATGGAATATTGGATATTAGCCATCTGTATGTGGATGAGCACTGAAATATTAGATTACCCTAGAAGAGAAGTTTTTCCCGTTGCTTACAATGTCAGAAGTTGTAAGTTTTGCAGGAGGTATGTTGTTTATATATGTTGTTACTTTGATATGCTAAAGTATTATTTCTTGTGCTAGTTGGCATGATGTGTAAAATGAGAATTCTGCTGAAGCTCATTGCCTTTTCTTTATCTCTTTTGTATATTAAATTTATCTTCATAAAGTACCTCATTCCTTGTCACAGGGGAGCTTATTCGCTTTCAAGCTGGAGTTACATTGGAAATCTCTCGATTAGATGCTTGGTATTCTGGCAGTGATGGTTCTATTGAAGGCCCTGCAACCTACATAGTGCATGGTCTTTGTCGTAGGTGTTGCATCCCTGAAGTTGTTCTGCGGTGCATGCAGGTGAGCTTGATATTCGAACTCATAATTTCTAATTATTTACAGTATTGTGTGTAGGCTATCACCTAGAGCAAAATTCCTATACCATAAATTTTCATTTATCTTATTTGACAATTCTGAAAATTTGAATAGAAGCAAAAACTTCAAGGACGTGTCTGTTTGTACTCTCAGTTGTGATCTGTTGGACTCATTTTTAGGTCTGTGTGTCGCTTGTCGGTTCTGGTAATCCACCTAATAGCCATGATGAGTTGATCAACCTTGTCACAAGTCCTGAAACTGGATTCCTTCGTCTCTTCAGTCATCATCAATTGCAGGTAAGCTAACTGGTTGGCTTGTACCCTTTATGCACAGGAAAAGAGCTACTATCAACTAAACGATTGTTAGGTTTGACAAAGTCTCATTAGTTCTCATGCATACATCACTTGTAGCATTAATATATTTGTTGTCTTGTTTTTCTGATAAATTATATTTGTTGTCTTGTTAGCCGGTTAATTTGATCTGTTGTGCAATAACTAGATCTTGCTACTAAAGTTGAAGCTCTCTTTTCATACAGGAGTTTTTGTTATTTGAGAGGGAATATACAATATACAAAATGGAACTCGAGGAGGAGCCGACCTCTTGATTTCATTAAGGAGCTTAAATACTTGGCAGGCTTGTTTAAATTTTGGTTATGGTGTATATTTTTGTAGTCTATCAAAATTAGAGTTCTTGTTTGGATGGTTGTTACCTATTGTATTTTATTTATTATATTGTTACACTAAATACAATGTTTTGATTGCTATTCAAATTTTTGATTATATCGTATCGTTACATTCTTTGTTACATAACAATGTAAAGATAGATCCCTTTATGTAACGATCGATTCTGTGTGGTTGCGTTGTTATTGTTGTTTTTCTCATCTGGCCCTTACTATATTCTGTATTACTTTTTGCTCTACCTTTTTTAATAATTACTCTACCTCATATTCCAGGGTAGGGGTAAGGTTGCGTACATCTTACCCTCCCCAGATCCCATTCGTGATCCCATTTGTGAGAACTCACTGAGTTGTTGTTCTTGTACTCTACCTCGTATTCTACTTTTTTAAAAAAAAATATTATACATTTAGGGCTCATTTGGTAAGAGGGATAATGAATAATTAATTCCGGGACTAAATTTAAGGAGTTTATTCTATGTTTGGTTGGTAGAAAACTGCGGTATAATTAATACCGGGTTTGTAGTGTTTTTTTATCCCCATGGAAAGGTGGAATAACTAATCTTGGGATAACTTCTTTTCTACCAAACAACCACTTATTTTTCAAATTTCTGGTGTATTGACATTATGAAACTATGAAAAATGATATGATCTATTCAAATATTTTATTTGTTAAAAGCTATACGATACTTTAAAAAATGATTTGTAACTATCATTCAAACAAGTTGTATATAAGGCCACAGTTTTTTTTTATGGCACAACAATTGTATGAAAATCACATTGGTTGGTTAGAAGATAAAACTGTGAAGTTGATGTTTCCCTGTGGCATCTGGAATTGCCTGTTGATTGAAATTTGCAGAGTTTTGCTAGAAAGATAAATCTTTTGAGTCTTACTGCCAGAAGCTCTACTTATAGATAATCGTGTATTCGACTATCTACTTGATTAAGGCATGTTCTCCCTCAAAATCACGTACAATCTCAGAGGTGGTGAGATTTTATTTCTTACCGAAACAATGGAGGAACCCTTGTTAAACATCAGTTTCCTAACAGGGAATACGCCTAAAAACATTGGGGTTCAAGTATTTAACCTGATCGCAATGTCTAAAACTGCTCTAATTTTTAAGGTTTTTTTTTTTACTTTTAGCCCGCGCCAGAAACTATATACACTCGGTAGCCGAAAAAGTGTATAAAATTTGTATAATTTTTGTATATAATATACATATCGTATATATATATATAAAATATATATATATATATATTTTCAGCTATTATTTTGAGAATTACTATACAATGTCATTTTTTCAATTTTTTCTTTTAACCGAAAGGGCTGATAACTAACGGGCAAGCTCTTCCATATATTATTTTTGCATTAATTTTAAATGTCCTCTCTCTATTTTTCCCCTCAATTGACCATTTCCAATAAAGTTATTAAAAAGGAAATTTGACCCTCAAGTAAGATTCATTAAGGTTGAGGTATAATGCCCAAAATATAGGTTATAAAGACTTTAAGGTTTTTGTATTCACCTTATAAGCGCTTAGGTTTTACTATTTGCATAATTTTTGTTATTATTCTCCTTATATGGATGGTTTTGTAATTTGATTCGGACGTGAAGTTTTATCATTTTAAAAGGGAACGCAAAAAGAAGATAAGCGAAAGCTAGCAAAAATGTTTTTTTTTTTTAATGTGTGTAAAACTTTGAAAAGTAACTTGACGTTTCTCATGCTAGAAGGAACATGCAGCAATGTGTTCTCTAATTTTCTTTTTCTAGATTTAAAATTGATGCATTAATAGTGCAAAATAAAATAAAAGGTACCAGTGAGCTTAATTTGTATCCACTGAAACAAAAAAAGTTACCCAGTCACGTTTCTTAAAATCAACCTGAGTTACAAAATGAGCTCCGGAAAAAAGTTAACACGAGACTTATTTGGATAATTGGAAAATAAAACCAAGAATCTAATATTCGAATAAAGATTAATTATGAGCTCGTAAAGTTGCTTTTCATCATAAATAACTTTAGTTTATTCATGCAACACCACATTCAAATGTGGATGATAAAAGCTTACTCGCATTCGGTATTTATACCAAATCACACTAATTTTTATGATTGTGTGCTAAATTAAAGTGCGAGTATATATGTATTAATTAACTATTTGCATAGGATTATAGGGTTATTTGGGATTATTTTCTCAAGTTGAATTGTAAATGGTAAAATAAAAGTAGACGGTTTAGTGAAATAGTGTATGTGAAGTCACGTGTTATGTTTTCTATTGGGTTAATGTAACTATTGGGTGCCAAAACTTTCTCTTATTTTACCATTTGCAATCCAACTTGAGAAAATAATCCCAGATAACCCTATATAAGAGAGAAATTGAAAATTTAACTAAATTATGAGCTATCTCATATCAAGTCCTAGAGCGCGTGCTCTCTCATATATATACATATATATATAAAATCATCAAAGCAACTCAGAAGCTCTAAGGGAAAAAAGAAGAAGAAATGGTTTTTTCATTCTTATACACTATTGGAAACATTATTATCTTAAATGTTCATGTTTAGTTAATTACCCGGCATAAACAAGCTTTGTTTACAAAAAATATATACAATCCATCCATTATTTGTGCCTTCAATCAAGGGATTTAGTTACATCCTTTTCTTTTTTTCTCTCATCCCTCCCCTCTTCTCTCCAGGTTTGTCACGACCCGAATTCCCCATCCTCGGGGATCGTGATGGAGCCTACTAATGTGAGCTAGGCAAGCCAATCCTTTAACTACTTACTTCTTTATCCAATTTTTTTTTTTTAACAAATATAAGACGGTAACGTGATAACAACGGATATCCAAATTTAAGCGGAAGACAACAATAAAATATATGAAATCTGTATCTATTACAAATACTTAAGCCTTAACCACCCAAAACTTGGTGTCACAGTGTCACAGACGGTCTAAGATTGCTACATACAAAGTCTGAAGAAATAACAGTACACTGTTTCTGAAAAAAAGGGAAAATGAAACAAGAAATAAGGATAGAGGGAGACGCCAGAGCCTGCGGATGCCTGCAGGACTACCTCAGGCCTCCTGATGAACAAGAATCAACAATTCCACTGCGGTCCGGAGTCTACAACACTGGGGTCTGCACAAAAGAGTGCAGAGTGTAGTGTCAGCACAACCAACCCCTTGTGCTGGTAAGTGCCTAGCCTAACCTCGGCGAAGTAATGACGAGGCTAGGACCAGACTACCAAATAAACTTGTGCAGTTATATAATATACATCGGAAAGTAAAACAAGGATAAGAAAGTAAAGATGGGATGGGGAAACATGCTGCGGGGGTATACCAGTATTAACAGTAAATCTAGAGTAACAGGCTAAGGGCAGCATAGAATTCACAGCAAAACAAAAGAAAGCTAATATCCAAACTAAACACACTTGTACCAATAATTGTTGCGGTGCGCAACCCGATCCCAATATATAACAACATTATTGCGGCGTGCAACCCGATCCATACCATTTATCATTGTTGCGGCGTGCAACCCGATCCACATATAATATTGTTGTGGCATGAAACCCGATCCATATATAATATTATTGCGGCGTACAACCCGATCCATATATAATATTGTTGCGGCGTGCAACCCGATCCATATATAATATTGTTGCGGCGTGCAACCCGATCCATATATAATATTGTTGCGGCGTGCAATCCGATCCACATATAATATTAATAACAATCATAACAAGAATCTCGACAAGGGATCAATAAGGTCTACGCTATCCCGACAAGGGATTCGACAGCATAAGTAATTACGTCCCGTCAAGGGAGAAACAACTATAACTAAACTTGTTACAACATCTAACTACCTCAGCTATAACCAAACTTGTTACAACACCTAACTGCCTCAGCTATGACCATAATCCTCACCCATACAAAGAATCATCAACCTAAGCATCTGTAATATCAATTAAGAACACAATGCAAGGGAACCACAACTCAACAATAGCCCGGCGAGGGGGCAACATAATGATCTCTTCTCTTTCTCACTTTTACTTTACAATTCACTTCACAACTCGAGCCAATGCTCTAGAGTTTATATTATCACTTATACTTTCACAATTCGTTATACAACTGGAGCCAACGCTCTTCAATGTTCATAAGTCATAATTCTTTCCACAACTTTACAAAACAAATAGAAATCTTCACCAAGGCATGTATAATACAACGAAATCATAAAAATCACAATATAAGACTCACGGTCATGCTAGACACTAACGTATAGATACTCGTCACCATGCATATACGTCGTACTCAACAAGAAACAAATAGCAAATACTACACAACTCCTAATCCCTCAAGCTAAGGTTAGACCGAACAATTACCTCGAACTTTCACGGCCAACTCAAGCCTCAAACACCGCCTTTCCTTTCGAATTCGGATCTAAATCAATTGTATCTATACATAATTGACTTCATAACATCAACAAACGCTAAACAATCCAATTCCAATGCTTAATTATAGCTTTCTAATCATTCTTCCCAAAAAAGACAAAAATTAACCCCGGGCCCGCTTGGTCAAAACACGAGGTTCGGACCTAAACCCGATCACCCATTCACCCAAGAGCCCGAATATATAATTTATTTTCAAATCCGACCCCAAAACGAGGTCAAATTTCCAAATAATCAAAAAGCCCTAAATCTACCCAAATCCCTAATTTTCTACCCTTAATCACATGTTTTAGGCCTAGAAATCTAGTGAATGTTGATAAAAATGGAAGAAAACAAGTCAAAGATTACTTACCCAAGAGGTTATGGTGAAGAAGTTCTTCAAAAATCGCCCAAAAGGTGTGGAGAAGATGAAGTTTGTGAAAAATAATGAAAATCCCGTAATGTGTTCTATTTTTGGAACTTAAAATAACTGGACGAAATTACTCATCGCGTTCGCGATAGGTCCATCGCATTCGCGATAGGTCCATCGCATTCGCGATGGGTTAGGCCTGTTAGGCCTTCGCGTTCGCGGAAGACGGCTCGCTTTCGCGGAGAAATGACCCCTCGAGCCTTCGCGTTCGCGTCCATGTGGTCGCATTCGCGTAGGTTTAATGCCCCACCCTGCCCAGGCTCAATTAGTCTTCGCGTTCGCGTTACCAGGCCCACGTTCGCGAAGGGAAGACCCCCCA